GCTGCCAGTGGCACTTCAGATGCAATGCCCACGTCTCGAATGGAGCTGAGCTAAAGCAATAACCCCATCCAAGTCCCTGAAAGGGCCATGGCTCGTAATGGGTTGGCACAAAGCGACATTATGCCACAAACTGCACCTGCTTCTAGAGCTGCTGTAGCAGTAGCAAATAGAGATGCCACCTGGCAAGATGGCATTTCCTGAAGCCTGCAGTGACGAGGCAGAAAAAAAAATCCCAACAAACAGATGGTGTCTGCAGAAATGGGAACTATATGGAAACAACAAAGGGCATTACAATGACGACAAATACACTGCTCTCAGCCCTCTCTAAACTGTCACGCACATCCTTAGTGGGTGGTACAGACAGGCCAAAATTCAGGTGCCTTCTTGCCCCAGAGAAAGGGATCTTGTTTTTCAAGTTCATTGCTCCTCAAACTGTATTAAAAAAAAAAAAAAAAAAAAAAAAAAGATTAGAATCACAAAGACCAACTGAGCAGTGTCTGTCCCTGAGCATAAAGAGAGCAAAAAATAAACCCCAAGGACTGACAGTGCTAGAAACGGGCCATCTGCGAAGGGATGTAAATGTGACTGTGCCCCCCAGATCATGGCTTACAGGCTTGAAAAGCAGAAACATGCTGACTGAAAGCAAGCAATTAGTGCCAAGGAGGAAATAAAGTATGGGAATACAAGAAGAGGGGAGGTGGTCAAATTTGCAAGAGTAAAACAAAAGATTGTTTATCCCAATGAATTCATTGCAAAACTTGGAAGTAACAAATAAACAGAGGTGCCTCTGCCATGGGATATTGATTCTAAGAGTGTCCAGCCTCTGTTGCAGCCATCAGTTACAGAATAAATGGTCTGAAAGGAGAATTACTTCCTGACCCACAATAGTTTTGCCCTGAAACAAAAGTTTATGTCCTTCCCATAGCACTTGTTTATCTAGTCTTTAAAGTGTTATGACTACAATGCTCAATAGTCCTGTCCTTATTTCCATATGGACAACTATTTCTTGAGTCATGACCCCTGAAATTTCACAATAAGGTCAAAACAATAACTGCATCTCAAGGATCTGAAAGATCTTTACAAATGATGGAGAAGATCCTGCCTCCCCTGGCAGGAGATGTCCCAGGTTCATATTTATGGAGTTTCCAAAGTAGCAGACTCCTGGGACACTGAAGTTACCTCCCCATGGGAACAGGCAGGAGAAGGAGAGACGTAGCTCTCCAGATACCTAAGGAGCATCTGAAAAAACTCAAACATCTTAAACCATTCACACAAAAGTAATTATCTGCTTATAAATGGTGAGACACTCTAGAAATTCCTGGACCGCCTCCCCGAGGAGTTTGCCCTACAAACATCTCAAAGGAAAAGCTGAAGTGGTCTACTTCCAAGGGTGGCAGGCCACGCATTTATGTCGTTGTTAGCTGCCCAGGATGGTCAGTGTCCCTGCCTCAGGCAGAAGCTTTTTTCTCCCCGATATCCCTTCAGGGAGGTGCCACACACAAAACCTTTCTGCTCAGGATTCAGACAGACCAAAGTCAGCAATCACCTACAGCTTGGGCCGCGGCCTGGGAGATACACTTCATACTTGTCCCGGTAGAAGAACCAACACTGACGTGTTGTTCTTCCCAGAAGGACACCAAAGCTTTGTGTATCAACTCAATATACACCCGCCCTCTGCCGAAGTTTCACAGCCTTCCAGAATAACAGCAGAGTGACAAGATCATATGTGATAAACAAGTGGGTTTCCAGGGCTTAAGCTTCTCTTCAGGCAGGGCTAAGCTTCAAGACATTTGCCCCCTTTTTGTCTCTGAAGAACATCGTGCCCCACTGCTGCTGTGTGACACCTCCAGGGGTCTCAGCTCAGTGCTGTGAGACCAGGGTGAGTGACCCAGCAAACGACAAAGAATAAGTCAAGGAGATGGAGAAGCAGAAAGATAAAAAGAAGAAGAGAACAAGAGGATTCAAACAAGAAACACTTGACAAAAAATCTATACAATTCATGGAGGGAAAAAATAATAAAACTTAAAAACAGAAGAGTCTTGGCACAAGGGCAAACACGAAATTATCACAGCCCCAAAAATGGATCCAGTCACAATGCCAGATGCAACACAGGATCCAGAACAGAGCTTTCCAGCTCCTATCTATTTCTGGGATAATCAGTACCATGGGGGAAAGGGAAATAGAAACACCATAAAGTTTATCTAAGGGATGGAAACACACCCAGCGTTTGACATGAGAAAAGAAAATGTGCTATCATCCAGCATGTGTACTGCAGGAATGGCCACAGGCCCAGGCGGGATCAAGGCCTCTTGCGCTGAACTGCGTGAGTGCACATGGAGAGGCTGAAGAGAAAATACTCTCTCACCATCTGCTCTGTCAGCATCTGAACTGAATATGCAAGGACTGGGGGCTTGTTTTTTTTAAGTCCCGAACAACTCACGAAGGAGTGAAAAGCCTCCTCTGATCCATAAAACAAAACTCAGCAAACATTTTTGTGTTTTCCCGCCTTTGATCGAAGCACATCACAGAACATGAAAAGCTGTAGCCTCAGCTGGTCTAAAACACTACTGAGCTCAGGTGAAAAATACCACTTCACTACCACTGGAGAATTAGGTTTCCAAAACATGCTGATCTGTTCCAAAGATGATGGAAGATAGCAAAAAGTGTCCTGTGAGGATGAAAGTATTTGGGACAAAGGCTGCAAAGAAAGGAAAGTTTGCACTTCTTGTAACCAAAACAACTGAGCTTGAAAGAGTGAGAAGAGAGAGGGGAAGAGGACCTGAGAAGAAAATCAGGTAGCCAGGATTTCAGGAGTGACTAATGACTCTGGATACCTTATTTCTAAAGACCTCAGTTTAAAGCAGACCAGGCCCATGTGTAAATAAGAGATTCACCACTGGGAGAAGCAGCAGGGGAGTGGATGGCAAACCTAAGAGTTGGCATAGCTGGTGTCTAAAAGCACCCAAGTGAACTAAAATTCACTGCATCTGCATTTCACTTCCCAGGCCAAGCTGTCTTGACTAACAGTATATCCTCTCTGAAGGAGACATTGACTCCCGTTCTGGATGGCACACCTCCTACCTAAATTTAGACATCTATGACACAGATGTCAGTTAATGAAGAAAAAATAGACTTTTTTTTTTTTTTTTAATTTGCAGTTAATGGAGAAAATGAGACTTTCTTAGGAGATCACTTTTAGGTGATTATTTCATGATATCCCACTTCTTATCGACTCTATTGACTGTACTGTTTCCATAGGCTGTAGCTCCAAAGTAGGCACCCACACTCTTAAGTATCAGCAAGTGGCCAGATAAATCCCAGCCTGTATGGCTCTTTCTGCTTCAAGGAGCCCAGGTTCCAGCCAGGATCTCGGTATACAGCAGTAATACAAATAATATTAGGTAGGTCTGAACACCCTGAGGCACTGGAAGCACAGTTACAAATTATTTCAGGGCTCAGCTCCTAACCTGCACCAGAGCTAAGAAATCACTGGGAATCAGGGACACATATGTCTCTGTGGATCAAAATTCCCTAGTTCTTGGAAGTGTAACAGCGATGAACTCTACCCACCTTCCAAGGGTTTCAGTGGAGTTATTGTGGTTTCAGACTCCCTCTGACATCCACTGTTACTGTTCTGCTGACCTCAGTGGTCCTGGGATGCAGCCTACATTTGGGGCAGGATGAGAATTGGTACCATGGCCTTTTTCCCATTCCCAAGAACCAGCCTATAATCAGAAACTGGCAAACCTCAGAAAGTCTGGCATGCCATCCAAAAAAGTTCATACGAAAACATCAGGGACAGGAACCAGGATCCAAATCTGCTGAGAGCAAGCAGGGCTTCTTACCAGAGCAGGGCAGAATGTGCTAGCAACAATAGGCATTTTGTGGTGTTTCACTTCGAGCCCCAACTGGAGCCAAGGAGCACACACCATCTGCAGATGTAGTTTAGAATGCAATGAACCTTTTTTTTTTTTTTTTCCACATACCAGAGTAAAAGAAAAAAGGCTGGGAAAAGGCTCTGAGTTGTCACTTGTATCTATTCAAATATAGCTAGTCAGTCACTAATGACAACCTACATTGAGACATGTCCAAAACGCAAACCAGCCCTTTGATGGAGGTTTAAAAAAGTCTGAATAACAAGGTTTCTTTTCTTTCCTCTCCCCTTCTTTCTTTTCCCCTCAGTTCTTAGGGTCCCCAGATCAGAAGCAGGAGTGCCAAAATACGAGGGGAACTGCCCATCCTGCCAGGTTCCCTCGAAGCAATGAATGCTGTTATTCTTCATTTCCCTCAGTGTACTTTCACTGAGGTCTCTACTTGCTTAAATTTGTCACTGTCTGATGGGGGTGCACACATGCACCTCCCCAGTTATCAAGACAACATGTTAGTTTGCCCATGTATTGGTAGTTACAGACAGTGGTGGGCAAACATAAGAGAGGTATTAACTGCTAAAGCTGGAAACAGATGTCAGCTTGCAGGCCACAAGGCCGCCCTTTGTCTGCAGCTTACCTGGGACATTTTGATGGAATTTAAGTCTTTCTTCAGATCTGCCCTGAAAAGGCACCTGTGTGTCCCACAGCTTGCCAATATTTTTCAGTCTAGATAATCTAATAAAATCTCTTTGCCCTACAAACTTGTCTCTTCTTTGGACGCCACATTATCACATTTCAGGCTCATAAGGACCCTCATTTTGGACGACAAAATCAGGGTCCTGGACAGTCTGGTGAAGAAAGCGTCAAGTGATGCTTCTGCAAATGGACCCAGCAGTTTCCCACTGAAGTCAGAGAAAGCCATAACCTTCCCCTGCTGTGGGCGGAGAGTAAATATCACCTTTAAACCCTGCCTGCAATTGGTAGTGAATGCAAGAAGTCAGGCAGAGGGGAATTGTGGGGTGGTCTTCGATGGCTGTTCAGCCACTGACCATTTCTGGTGTGATCATGTCAGAGTTTCCACCACTGTGGCTGTTTCCTCTAATTGTGTAAGGGAACACACACACATACAGCAGAGTCCTGCCAGGCTGATAAGATTAAGCAAATTTTTAAGCAGCACCATTCCAGGAGAGAAATTCAAATGTCCAAGTTTGCCTTTTACCCCTCACACCCTCCAAATGTGAGTAGGAAAACCAAAAACAGAAAGCCTCAGGTACTTCTAATTATCAGTTTAAACCTTAGTACTGCAATAGCTACGATACACTGCAAAGCTGCTGTAAATACTCAGAACTAACTGAACGATTGAATGCAGGAGAATTCACTGAACCAGGCTGAGCCAAGAAACAAATTATACCCTACATGACCTGCTGAAGAGTCATTTCATCCTTATCATTTTAATTCAATTCTTCCTTTTGATTAAACAGTTTATTTATTTATTTATTTGTTTGTTTTTCAGGATAAGGAGGAGATTTCAAATACCATTACTTGGAAATTTTCAAACAGTTATTGTCTTGCAAAGTCTCTCTCTGGACACCCAAGGATTGAATATAGCTCAGTACTGGAAAATGAACATTTATAGATCCAGGAAAGTCCTATGGACTTGAAGGAAGGCCTGTGTGGACATCAGATCATTTGAAATCTGACTTCAGCAGGATGAGGATTAATTCCAGTGTTTTTTTCATGAGATCTGGAAACTTTTCTCCTCCACCTTTCCGTAGCTGTCATGATCTCATGCCGCAAAGATACTGCTGCATCCCATCAGACAGTTAAAACGGCAGTTGGGTAGCTACAATTAATAGTGATAATACAAATAATTCTGACAGACATCACATTACTCACAGATTCATAAAAACACCCCATATGCTGGAAAACAACTTTGCACCAGGCAGGCTAAGACTAAGAAATAGTGTCCATCTTTTTGCAGCAGCTGATCATTAATTCTGATACACTTGGAACATGTAGCCTGTTTCCATCATGATCAGGGTAATGGTCATGAGTTCAGACAAGCAGAGCTTTGGTATAAAAACAGAGGAGTCCTGACAATTCAGCGAGAGGTTTTTTCTTGCATTCTCTGTGCTTCTAAGTCTGTTGCTTTTTCTCCCCACTTATATTTAGCTCACTTAAAAGAACTGCAGAATAAGCTTTATTTATATCCACAAAATAAATCCAGAGGGAGTCAAAGGGCTGATGAAGAAAACTGTACGAGGCTGCAAAGACAGCCGATCCCTTGAACATTGTGAATTCAAATCCAGAATCAACAAGTTTGTTAGCAGCAAGTGATGCATGGGCATGGCGTGAATGAACTCCAAACAAAGAGTACAGTGGGACATCTATGTGTTAAGCACAGAGGATAATAAATCATAGCTGTATTTATATCATTAGGGTCATCCCAAAGGAATTCAGGACTACAGATTAACATATGGAGATATTTTCACCTTCCTAAGAAAGTAACTGCCTCAGCCTATGCTTTGTCAAGAGAGAGTAACAGAATCACTAGGAGCAGAAGTAGAGAAAAAAAAATCGCACCCAGGGAAAATTTGGCACAGAATCATAGAAAATGGCTGAAAACAATCCCAGGACTCCCATAGCACCTTCTGTTGCCTCAAGATGAGATCTAAACCCATTCCCACAGATTCCCATAGCAGATCCCACAGCTAACACCATCAGTGCTTCCTTGCCTTTCTACTGTTTCTAATGTCCAAATCAATTTTCTCCTGTAATTTATGTTCACTGCACAGCTTCATATGTATGCAAAGCTTTATTAAGAAAAACTTTTAGATTTTCAACTCTGGAGTGTCAGCCAAAATCTGAATTATTATTCTTTTGTAGCCACAGGTTAAACTAAACATGGAATCTAAATATCTCCACTTGTCCTTAAGGGAATGGACATTTGGGGTCCCAGGCCTGTAGTGAGCAGTCATGCAACTGGACAGCTCTTACTTCTCTTTATTCTGGCAAGAACCACTGCAGGAACTTGAATAAATTACACTTTTGTCTGTATATCACATAAAACAAGAAGAAATAAAGACTGACTCAGAAGTAAAAGGCTTCAGAATAATATTGCTGGGTTAGGGGGCAAGGTCCTGAGCAAATATATCCCAGGCCTGAAGGGGGAGATTGCAGCAGGATGGCAGAAAGGTGGGCAAAAGAGGTGCTGAAGCCTCTTCTGGGAGGCCAGGGACTTGTTCCAGTCCAGCCAAAATATGATAGAGCTCTCTTTGAGCTTTCTGCTCATATATTCAGGGCCTCAGAAAATGGCAGATCAGGTCAGCTCAGCCCTCCCTAAAATGGCTGCCAGGCCCCCTGGTCAGGGTGGGGCTGGCCTGACCCTTCAGAGTGCTTGTCAGGTTTTGGTTCTTTTTGGTAACTTGCATGGATTTAAAAGCACATTTTGATAACATGCCTGGCTTTCTTTTCTTTCAAGGGTCTGCTACAGGAATCTACCCTTTTTGCTGCTGCACTGGTTTAGCTCCCCCATGAACTCTGAACTCCTCAATTATGAAACCATAGACAATACAAAAGAGAGTATGAACTAATACATTTTTTTCTCCCTGCGTCTAGCAGTATTTTGGCTGCTCCAGCAGACATGTATTTGGACCAGCAGCTAATCCTCTTAATAATTTCTCACCACTTCATCTGCAGACTTGAACAAAGTGTCTGTCTGATCCCCGTGGTAGGATCTCTCAGTATGTGCACATCAGAGAGCCTGTGAAAACAGCAGCACAAAATGCTTAGCATGCCCCCCCAGCTGAAAAAGAGAGCTAGAGAGATGTCCTGTGTCTCCACGAGAGCCTGCTGGTGACAATTTCCAACCAGCTTAAAACTCTGCCTGTCTTTAGCACTGCTCCAGGGGTGCTGCGCCCAGCTGCAAGCCACTGTGAAAACATTCACCAGCCAGCGGGGAGCGACTTGTTGCTTCAGGGATTCTCTGTGTTGATAATTCATGCATAAACATTATTCATCCCTTTTGGCAATAGATGCCTAGCATGAAAGTCAAGGCAAAGGTTCACTTCGCCCGTCCAATCCAAACTTCCCACGTCCCTCCCACCCTTGTGTTTTGGCCTGTTCCTCTTCCCCCGAGCTGGAGATGCTGCTCCAGGGATGCGATAAGGCTTGAAATGGGGACAGATAGGAGGGACTCCTTAGCCCCTGGTTTGAAGTCTGCAGTGCCAAGAAGCAGTACCTGAGCCCACGTGGAGCATAAGTCCTGATGTGATCTCAGCCCATGGCCATGGTGAGAGAAGGGAGCCAAGAGGAAGGGTTTAGAAAGAAGTAAGGGAAGGCTGGAGCCACCTCTCCAGCTGTTTGCCAGTGCTGGTGCTTCAGCCGATTCACCAGGTACAAGAGCACCTCTCTGCAGTCTCGGGTCTCAGGTACCTCCTCCTGAAGTAGCTTCAGTTCATGGGTATGCGTTACTCTCCAGTTCATTGCTTTCTTCTGCTTCATTCCATCTGTGAAAGCAATTTGAACAGTGTACAAATCAGGCTTCAGGCCACATTTTCCAGTAGGTATTTAACAAGTTAGGTAAAATTTGGGTAGCAATCAGCAATTCAGAACACTTATTACTCAGCTTTCTTGCCATATCTCCCTGTACAGAGAAGGTACTATGATTCTAAAGCTGCATCCTGTAGCTAGACAACTTAAATTTGGCCCTTCATCAACATTGTCTTGAAGACATGGTCCCTTTATTCCCTGAAATATGAAAGAAATTTTTGAGTTTCTCTATGGGGGCATTTTCTTCCTGACTTGGTCCCTTCCTTCCATCGAACAGACAAACAAAACTCCTGCTACCCATATCAGACATATTGGGGTTTGCATATATGACTGCTTCATCACCAAATGCCACCCTCCTCCGTGCTTCCTTTCCTGCAGGTTTCCTGCCCTCATGCTGCTTCTAGCCACCTCCTGGGGATGGAATTTCCTTCTTGCTGAGATGTCTCAGGCCCCACAAACGGTGGCTGCTGCCAGCCAAGTCCTTCCCTAGGCATATAAGGGGTTGTCCCAGGGCCGCTAGCACTGGGTGTTTGCAAAAATCTAGTGAATTAGAAGATATAAGTATGTGCAATTGCTGCAATATTCTCCAAAATTTAGCAGATGGGAAACCAGAGTTTGAGGCCAGCATTGAAGTGAAATCGCAGCATCTCCACCTGACTTGGTTGTGCTGGGTTTGCATGTCAGGCACTGCCCTTCCACAGCGCTGCAGCCTGACGTACCAACCCAGGCAGCAAAACAGAGCAATCTGCACCTTTCACCTCGGCTGTCTGCTTTTCATTTTCCCCTTTAATCACAAGCAGATTTCGGCTATCAAGTGTGAAAGTTTAGCAGACCTAGAGCCCCCTGCAGAGGCGGAGATCTAAACTCAATTCACAATTCATTTTGTGCCTGCTGATATATCTGATCACTAGTTTAAAAAAGGGGATTTACTGGATGTTTTGCCCCCATAGAGAGAAAGGAGAAGGAAAGATTTACACTCACAGGAAGGTAGTGAAGCAAATACCAGCAGTACTTTAGACAGTCTCCCCCTGACTCAGGAACAAAAAAACCCTTCTCTATGATAAAAATAAATACAAGAAAAATGTGAGTGGTTGCTGATACACCCAGCTCAGCACCAGCTGGCCTCTTCTTGTTTTCCTGCATTCTGCATTTGTACAGTGCCTTGCACCATGAACAAATTACAGCTTTTCTCCAGTTCCTGTGGGGTACCAACACCATAAATCCCACCAGCTGACAAAGTCAAGGAAGAAGCAGATGCAGGTTGACTCTGCAGGACAAGCCTGCTCCGGGGGGGATTCACGTGGAGGTTTCTCATGGTGAAAACCAGGAACCCAGGAAGTGTTTCCAGCTGGAGGATGCATAGTTGGCGCAGCCTTTATGAGGCAGTGGGTGGCTTTTCAAAGCCAAATGTAACCTGGGGGATAATGCAGAGCTTTGCAGCCCTGCAGAAATACATGTACTTTCCCAGGTAGGACGGGCTCTCCTGGAGTTGTTTCCATCACTGTTCAGTCTGTCGGGATGGAGTGGTGTGAAGCATACATGGCAGGACAGGTCTGCTCTGAATCATGTACCAGAGCACAGCAGGGAAGCAAATGAAGCAGGGAGCAAATTCCTCAATGCCTGAGGAAGAAGTAGATATGTTAGACGACTTTTTATTTTCTTTCCAAAAAAAAAAAAAAAAGTTTCATTAACAATCATCAATGTCAGCTTTGCTTTCCTCACTCTTCTTTATTTCAATCAGTATATATAGCCCCAAACGCTGTTGCACTGGGCATGTCTGTACACAGCAGAGGAAAACGCCTTTCCAGGGCAATTCCATGCATTTGATCATGACACCCTGCCATGCACACATAGCTGTGAGAGGGGGGGAACAGACACAGGGGCAAGCGACGATTTCCAGATCAGAACCCAAATCTGCCCACGGGGATGGGCTTGCATGAGCAGGGCTGTGGGGATTTCACCACCAGCCTCCCGACTGTCTGGTCCCCTTGGGAAAACCCTGCAGACAGCTACAGCTCCTGCTGCTTGTTTTCTCCTACTCTGCCTGGCAGCTTCCCGTGCATGTACCTCTTGATGTGTGCTCCCAAGGCTTTATTTGCCATATCAGCCACCCCCACCCTGGAGTCTGAATTTGCTGATGAGTTTTTTGTGCTCAACATACCAATGTTTCACAACTTCCATCCAACTTAAAAGTCACCTCTCCATTCCTCATACTGATGCACTGTGTGTATTGCTCTGATGCTCAAACTGCTTACTATTTTTGTGCCCGGCAAGCACATTGAAACCTGATTTCTTGTAGTCTCCAGAAAGTCATAGAAACAAACATCTCTAAGAGCATATCTATGTGATCTCTTTTAATCCAGTCAACTCCTCTGCAATATGTCCATTCACTGAAACGTTACGTAGCATCGATATTATCACTGCTAGCATTATTTCTCCAAAATTTAATCACAATGTACAGGCTGGACCATGGCAGCAATGAGCTCAGGTGCATGCGAGGGTACTATCAGGGCCTGCAACCTCGTTTGTGATCACTCACTTATAAGATCTGCCCTCCTGGCCCCACCACACCTAAGCTGAGTCTGAAATCTCTCTATGCACATTGAATTTTAGAGAAGTTTAACTATTTTGTGAAAAATTGGGCAACAGCTGAGAAATACAGTATTTCTGTACCCTTACATTGACAGAGCACTGTTAAGTAGCACATGTTGTACACGGGTTAGTAGCTCATGTTGTATTACAATGACTCCCCACATTTAATTTGAATGGGGATCAAGGGTGAAAAAAGTCTAATAACTTGGTAAGTCTCTACCTCAACTCATTTTGCCATGCAGTGGCAATAATCCCAAATGACTAAAGATTTTTTACTACCTGACATTTCCCATGGCTAACTTCTCCTAAGATGCAAAGGCCTCAAAACAAGACATGTATAAACTCACCATTGATGTAGATGGGAAGGATTATTGTAGGAAGCTAAAGTGGCAATAGGATGGGGATATTTATACTGAATTTTCTGCTTTTGCTAATAAAACTGCTGAGGCATCATATCAGTTGCTGTCAAACCATGGCTGCAGACATCACTGTAAGCCATCCACCCCCCTGCCAGCAGAGGCTTTGATTTGCAGCCGGCATAGCCCCTGCAAAAAGGACTCCCTGGCTTGTTTCTGTGGCTCAGACACATTGTTCTCCTAACTGCTGCCCTAAATAACTTCTCTGCAGTGGCCAGTTTGATGGTGGTCGTAGCCACCTGAGCAGCAGCAGACCCATATCAATCTGCAGAGAAGGACTCGAAAGCAGCTGTGCCTTCTGGAGCCACCCCAATTCATTCAGAGGGCCGAACAGCCAAAACCACTTGCTCAAATTACCACAGTATTGGCTCGCTAATCCCAAATTAGATACACAGGAAGCACAGCAATTTTCAAGAGAATCTGTTTCTGCAAGTGGATTCAGAGTCGCTCGGGAACATCACCTCTCTGGACCCATGCTGGTGTGGGGCCATGGCCCCAGTGGATGTACAAAGAGCCTTGAGTTCATTCCCCTCTGTGTCTCCCCATGCTCACCACATTGTAAATATTGTGCTGATACCCTGCAGTTGTTATGAGCATGGGGCTTTGTTCTTGTATGTGATATTTTCCTTTCCAAAGACAAACATAATAAGCAGGTTCCTAATGTGCTGGAAATGCTAGGGATGGTCTGTGCTCAAGATAACAGTTCATTTGTGTTGAATGACAACCATCCTAAACTGCTCCGGCTGGGAAATGCTCATCGATGCTGGGAAACTGATGCTGGAAAAGTGGCAAAAGCAGGGGACCCATACAGCAGGGATCCACCCTGATTGCACAGGCCTCCCAAACTTTACCCCCTTCAGAGGCCACCCATAAACTCCAAACACACCAAAGATGTTCAGTGCCCTTGGAAGCTCTACATGGACCTGCTTAAGCAGGGGTTTCAACCAGATGACTTCCAGAGGTCCCTTCCAACCTCAGCTGTTCTGGAATTCTGTGAAAAGGCAAATTCTGGAGAAAGAGCTGACATCATAACTCAGTAATATTTGTGTACACTGAAGGAGAGCAAAAATTATATTTTGGACCTCAGGCTAAGAATCTCAGGATGCAGATGGGCCAAGTCTTCCAAAAATGCCAGTTGCTTTGGAAAGCTCTAGACTGGCGTCAAGCCCTTGCCAAATTCGGTAGCAATAAACTTTCTAGCCATGGTCACTTGAGCTAGGGATGAAGAAAGGACAAGGAAGAGGAACACTAGCAGAGGAACACTAGCGCTGGTGAGCACCTTGCTGGCTAAAGGAAGCCTTCCTGCAAACTTAATTGAAATGTGAATTCTGCCACTGTGCAAGGCTTGAAATCTGAATGTTTCCTGACGTCCCACACTGCTATTAAAATAAACCGAAAAGGTTTCCAACAAAGCAGCACATTTTATATATGCCAGGAAGAAAATGAATAAAAAATGCATATCTTTGTTTCTTCCTGACAGTATCCCATTGATGCAAAGCAGCAAGCAAACCACAGCAACAATCAGTGCTCTGCAAAGAGGTGCCCATAACTGAGCAAGGAGGAGGTTTTGCTCCCCACCCTTGGACTACCCTCACTAGAAATCTGGATTTCCATGTGCATCTCCCTCCCCACTATGGAGACATCTCAAGGCCTATTTGCGTGCAATGGCTCTTGAAGGGAATAAGCACTTTAAACTGGCCCTGGCACCATGGAAAAGAATCAGGAAACTTTAATTAGGGGAGAAAAAACAAGAAATCACCCACAAGACATTTTTGTATTTACTTTCACTAAGTGCAAAAATGAACTTCACAGGAATTTCATCCCACAGGAATTTCCAATATTTCAGTATTTGTTTCCGTTATGACTCGGGACAAAATGTTGAAATATCAAAATGTTTTTCATAGAATAAATTGTTCTGGGAAGCAATATTTCATACGTCACTTTGACGTGCTTCAGGCTTGATCTTGCACCTGGATGAGCTGCTGAGAGGTCGCCAGGCACATGCCCTATGGTCCCAGCCTCCTCAGTAGACAAGCTTCAGCACGTTTGAGACTTCCCACCCCAAAATGCTTCAGCGGGTCCCAACGCAAAACACAGAAACGCAACAAGGCAGAAGGCAGTAATTCATCATGGGATATGTAGTCCAGCTACGGGCTTGGTCTATGTAAGAGAATTAGCCACCAGGTCTCCATCCTGTGTGAGCTGAGTATGCATAAATGTTGAACACAGCTGAGCCCAAATGTTTCATTTCAATATTGTTGGCTTGTTTATTTTTTTTTGTCATAAAAATTAGACAGTTCTCAGCCAGCTGTAATAGTGTCTTGGTTTGTCAGCACTCCAAAGACATGCCTACCTCAACCTGCACAGCAGAACTCAATCTGTCCATCTCTTTCCTCCATCACCATCTTCAGGGGACTAAGCTTCTAGATTAATCTTGTCACTTAAGCTCTCTCCTTGCCCTGGATGTAGCTCTTTTGGAGCTCCTGGGCATAGATCAAATCTCCAAAGAGGATTCATCTCAGCATAAGCTGATTAAAAGTCAGGCATCCAGTCCACACTCACCCGTGTGCTTTTCCATCATGAGGAGCAATGACCCCCAGCAGAGGAGGTTCATTCCTATGCACTACCTCGAGGTACCTCCTTTGAGGCACCCCATGGAGGCACCCTCAGCATCCCGGTTAGAGGGTTACATGAGGAGAAGTGCATCCCACCTAATGTCCACAGCACTTTGTCTTGATAAATCTGTCCTCCTTATGTGGTTGTTTGTCCCAGCCCTGCCTCACAGAGGTTTCCAGGTATCAAGATGAAGGAGCAGAGCAGCAAGTGGGGCCAACATACAGCAATCCACTTTTTCAGAAAAAGAGAAAAATCTCAACTCAGAACAATAACAAAAAAATCCTAGAGGTACAAGGGCCCTTGTGACTTTTTTGTATTAGTCTCAGTATCAGATTTCACATCACCTGGCAGAAAAGGATGGCAGAACTGATTGTGCATCTTAATTTTTCTAACGTGTCTGGCCTAAGAACTGCTACTGTACATTTTCCACATCTGATATTTTCTCACATACTGTTTTGTGCTCTCCAGACATTGCCTTTCTGGGAATTCAGGTGACCTGTGGGGTTGGGCAGGAATTTCCCAGCCAAACATCACTCCTCCAGACATTTTTGGTATCAAGAAAAATAAGCCCCACTTCACACACACACACACTTTTTACCTTTGAAACCTTAATTTCTCCTGGAGCAAGCGTGGACCAGGAGCTGGCCAGGACCACACACAGCTCTCCCAATATCCCAACCTGATGAAGAAGAGGGGGATGGAGGAGGCAACCAGCATGTTGTGCAAAAGGGAAGGAGATGAAATCCAGCCATTGACAAGAGAGGACCACGAAGCCTAAGCTCAGATGAAAAACCCTGCGGAAATGAGTGGAAGTTTTGACAGAGGAAGGACAGGGTCCCATGATCTGCATCCTAGAGCCATGCATTAGGTTCTCCTGTAGGCATGGGCCCTGTTTTGGGCAGAGCATGCAGGCTGGCATGCCCATTGCTTCCTCTCAGGCCACCTGCAGGTCTCGTTGTAGGCCAAAGTCTTTTGGGCAAGATACCTTATGCCAAAGCCACCTTACAAAAGTGGGCTCCTCGCCACCAGCTCAGTCCCAGGGCTGGTCCAGGCCCCTTGCAGAGCTCCTGGTGGGGTGGAGGGCTGTCCCCAGAGGTTGGCTGGAAATAAATCAGCGTTGCATTCGTGTGGGTTTCCTGGAAGGTGGAGCAATCACACCCTGCTGAGTTAGGATCACAGCCTTTCGTTTACCATGGACTTGTTTCTGATGTAATGGAAGGTTTGGTTTCCACCATAACTCATGAGTCGACATGTCACAGGCTGCAAGGATGCATCTAGCCGACAGAAATGGTGCATTGGGCTTAGTTCTTCCAAAATGCAATTGTTTTGTTCCAAAGACAGGCCTTCGCCCAGCAAAAGGTGCTGCCTGCAGGCATAGTTCCTTCCTGCAGCCCACAGCCCTCCGTGCATCCCTTCCAACAGGCACTTTCTCCACTTATAAACAACTCTTGCTCTTCCCAGTATTTCCAGGACACATGAAGATTTTCCTACACATCCTCCGTGGCCACAAACACACTGTGTATGTTGCAGGCTTAATAAACAAAGAGTATTTGTTAAGCTTTCCATCAGATCATTCCCACCGAGACACGAGACGTTCTCAAGTCCAGTCAGTGGAAGCTTTTACTTAGGAAGAGACAGGGGAAGACATCTGCTGCAGCAAACCTCAGCTGATAGCAATTGGGAGAGCGCCTTTATCTCTTGTAATGGTATGCTAATTCAAACCAGAGCAGATTTCCTCGGATACCATGGCAGCAGGCTCAGATTGTTGTGAGAATCAGAATTGTTTGCAAGAGCCGATGCGCCTGACCAGACCTAAACTCTAGAAATGCTGTCACCTGGCCAAAAAGCACCTGACCTGCTGACAGAGGGGGGTTCAGCTGGTCCCACTGCTCTGAGGTCTGCCCATTCGGATGTCCAATCCCATGTCAGCCCAGGACTTCACCTCTTTTTCCTTGCCGGAGTGCCAAGAACGCTCAGTCCTCCGCTCTGCAAAAGGCTGAAGCACATGCCTCTCTTCCCAGCCAAGCATCAAGGAAATGATGATTTCTCTGCCTTCCAGTAACTTTTTAATAATGTGCAACTTATCTAACTTGGGACAGATCCCGTCGTTTTGCATCAGTGCAGATTTATCCCACAGCTGCCCAGTAGGAACAGATGAGGGGCTGCCGCGTGTCAGGAGTTATTTGCTGCCATTGGGACAACAGGGCCGAATATTGCCCTCTCCTGCAGGAGAACAAGGGTATATGTTTGTGGCATTGGGCTCAGGGGGGTTGGCTCCCAAAAAATCCCTTGTCTCAGTTTACTTGAATGAGCAAAGACACGAGAGAGTCAAAGGATGCTTCTCAACATGTGTCATTCCTCGGGGCTGTGGGAATCAGGATTTACAGGTGTGATGTCCCCTCACCAACTCCAAAAAGTAATATCCAAACACACCTACTTCCGTGCTAGTGGCATTTTTGCTAATTTTGCTAATGGCATTTTTCCTAAATGCCACTTCCCGTCCATTTTTTCTTAAATGCCATTAGGAAAAGTATTTTCACATGTTCATTTTCAGGATTGCCACTCTGCAGATGTGCAGTCTCCACCATTATAGGGAGGGTTGGCCTGAAATGAGGAACACCTCGTTTGCAGAGGCAGCACTGGAAAGCAAGAGCATCAAAGTGAAGGAGGAATGGAGAGATCTGTCAGAAATACTTTTGTCCATTCAGGACAGCACCAATACCTCACAGCAATG